ATCTCAGAGGTCTTTTCCAAGCTTATGATTCTATGATTCTATGTTGTGCCTGCTGCTGCTGACAGGCTGGACTCCAGGGCAGGGGAGCTGGGCTGGACCCACAGGGCACCAGCACTTTCCTCCAAGAGCTGGCCCGGCTTGGGCTGCAGCAGTGCAAACACCTGCTCCCGAGCACAGAGCCCGCTGACCTGGCAAGGCAACAGGCACGGGGAGCCGTGCCCCGGCAGCGTCCCCAGAAGGGCTGCCCCACTCTCAGCAGAGCTGCCGCCATCCTCCCTGCTCAGCTCCTTGGCCCCTCTGGCCCAGGCATCGCTTCCCGTGTCCCAGCCCCTTACCTGTGTGGACCAGGCAGTAGATGCAGATGCCCACGAGGCACGTGATGACGGCGGCTGTGATGGGGATCAGCACTGACAGCGAGGAGCGCCTGCCCAACTCTGCAGAGGGAGATGGGGTCAGTGAGGCACCCGTGTGACACCCCCACCGAGACGCCGAGTGCCCTGAGCTGCCTCTGCTCCAGGCCATCCCCAGGGATCCCTCCCGGGACAGAGAGGAGCAGGAAGGCATCATACCAGCAGTGTGGTCAGACCCTCCTCTCCCAAAAACACAGGCCAGGCCAGCTCCTCCAAGTGCTGAGGGAGGCAGAGCACCAGCCCGCGGCACAAGGCACTTACCACAGATCACGTCCGAGGTGTTCGTCCCTTTTGCCTTCACCACCAGCCCCTTTTCCTCACAGCTGCGGGGAAGAACGAGACCGTGTAACCACAGCAGCAGCCTGAGCACACGGAAAGCCCCCAAGGCTGTGGGAGAAAGCGTCCTGCACCGAGCCTGCCGGGCTCTGGAGGGGTGAGCGGCCAGGGGCTCCAGCGATGCTGGGGCCTGTGCTGTGTGACGGTGACACCGGGTACATAGCAGGGCCCCACCCCGAGGTCCTGGTCTGGAGTTGCTAAAACTGCTGAAGTCAGAGGACAAGTCTGGGGACAAGTCACATGAGGGAGCAGATATTTGAGACCTGCCCGGTCAGGGAGACCCTGGGGCTCAGGCACTGCAGCTATTGCAGAACAGCTCAGAGATGACTCGATGACAGGCTACAAGTGGCTCCATGGGGAGGTAATTTCTGGGCACAGATAAAAGCAAAGTGAAATCCAATGGCTGGCAGCTGAAGCAAGACTAATTCAGCCTGGAAATAAGGCTCACGTTTCTACCAGGGAGTGCAATTAACCCTCAAGCAGCTTTCTAAAGACAGGGACGACCTG